GGTGGTAACAGGGGGCTGGGTTAGGGCGGTGAGGGCAGAGATTAGGGGCGGCAAATCGGCCGCGGGAGGGAGGGATAACGAGGTAGAGGGGGCCGGGACTTCGGGAGGAGGAGGTAACACTGGAGGAGAGGTGGTAACAGGGGGCTGGGTTAGGGCGGTGAGGGCAGAGATTAGGGACGGCAAATCGGCCGCGGGAGGGAGGGATCCTGGGTCAGCAGGGAGACAGAGATTCGGAGGAATAGGGCAGGTGGGAGGGGCACGGGGTAAGGGAGTTGGATGTGTGATGGACGGAGAGGGTGAAGGAACGGAGGCTATCAAGGAAGGGGTACTCGGGGTTGAGAGAGAAGCGGAGGGGGGTGGTGGGACTTCAATGGGTGAGGTGAGGGAAGCCATAGTAAGGTCCAGAGTGGGGACGGTCACTTGGGGAGGCAGCGAAGGACATGAAAGCGGAGGGGTTTCGACAGGCATGTCAGGAGGATGGTTAACGAAGGGGGTTGGATCATAGGAGGGCTGAGACATGGGAGCAGGAGGGAATGAATGAAGTGGCACTGGGTAATAGTAGGAACCATCTGCACCGAGCACGGGGCACAGGGGAGTGGGAGCTGAAGACACACCCCCAGTAGGTGGGGTCTGTGTCGTGACGGGGGAAACAGGGCGGGAATTAAGTGTTGCGCTCCGGGCGCCATCATAGGGCGGTGGTCGTGAAACAATAGGAACAACATCATCATTGTGAACACTCCTGTGATAAACATACACAATTTGCCCCTCAACTTCCAGTTCTTCCTCGACCCATCCTTCTCTTTTCAACCCTCTAGCTACTCGGTACTAAGCCTCTGCAACTTTCGTGAGTCCATTATCCAACAACAACCCTTCCTTGTCTATAAGTAACTTCCTCCAAAACTCAGGTTGTAATCTCCCGCTGGGCAACATCTGGAAACCACACACCTTAGCAATCTTTTTAAGTTTTAGCATTGCATCTTCACCTGCCCTTTCTTTCACAATGTCACAAGCTAGCAAGCCCTTAGCAGGTCTAGCGTGTTCCTGTCCCATATTTGAGTAACCAAAGCGTGCCACACGTGGAAGACAAAGAAGTATAGTAAGTGTAGGGGAAAAAAGAGTGTCTACAGTGCTCGACTGCCACGAGAACTTGAGCCCCGTGCGTCTTCCCCAAACGTAGACTAGTCACGGAGATCCGCCCACCCGGGGTGGTGGTCACGGACGGGAGCGAATGAGCGTGGGTGACTAACACAGCTCTGGGCAACAGGCACAGGAGAGATAAAGAACAAAGGAGAAAATAAACGTGGCTGCGCTAATGAGAAGACATTTGCAAAAATCACAAACATACAAATGAGCATAAACTCCGGAATCCAGAACTAACCACACAATACACACACACACACCAAGGGTACCCACACTGTAACAACAATTAAACAGAAACCACAGAATGATAGAGAGTAAAATGGCCATGTACATGTTAACACCACCGGTGTCAGATATTCAGAATATAACGATCTCCAGCCTTCACCCACCAGGCTGGTCCCGGCAAAACACTGGTACCAACGGAAATACTACAATAATCATACAAAAATCTCAGCCCCACCGGCTGTAATGCATTCCCTGCCCGCTAGGCAGTCAAGTTAACATAAAAACCCAGCCCCACCGGCTGTAATGCGTTCCCTGCCCGCTAGGCAGTCAAGCAAACATAAACCGCGTTCCCTGCCCGCTAGGCAGTCAAGCAAACATATAAAATGCGTTCCCTGCCCGCTAGGCAGTCAAGCAAACATATAAAATGCGTTCCCTGCCCGCTAGGCAGTCAAGCAAACATAAACCGCGTTCCCTGCCCGCTAGGCAGTCAAGCAGACATATAAAATCCCAGCCCCACCGGCTGTAATGCGTTCCCTGCCCGCTAGGCAGTCAAGCAAACATAAACCGCGTTCCCTGCCCGCTAGGCAGTCAAGCAGACATAAATTGCGTTCCCTGCCCGCTAGGCAGTCAAGCAAACATGAACCGCGTTCCCTGCCCGCTAGGCAGTCAAGCAAACATATAAAATGCGTTCCCTGACCGCTAGGCAGTCAAGCAAACATAAACCGCGTTCCCTGCCCGCTAGGCAGTCAAGCAGACATAAATTGCGTTCCCTGCCCGCTAGGCAGTCAAGCAAACATGTAAAATGCGTTCCCTGCCCGCTAGGCAGTCAAGCAGACATAAATTGCGTTCCCTGCCCGCTAGGCAGTCAAGCAAACATGTCT